CCCCAAAACCCCAAAACCCCATAAATTGCGTAAATTAATATCTGTGGTGTGGTTTTAAATAAAAATTTCACATAATAATTTAAATTGAAATTCATAGGAATCGTCCTAGTTTGGTATTACTCTTAAATTTTTTGCTTGATTTTTTAAATTTGACTTTGTCATCATTATGATTAATTTACTTATCTCTTTCAAAATCATCAAATAACTCTTGATTATAATTCAAAGACATCGAAGACTTCGACTTAGAATTGAGTCTATCGAAGGCAATTTTCTTTTATTTACCTTTTTCCCTTTTAGCAATTTTATTATAATCTTAATTGGCTTAAATATCATTTTGGATTCTAGTGATATCATTTGCGTCTTTTAGAGTAGTATTATTGAGATAGGTGTCATTGTGAGTTCTAATAGGACTTGGGCTTGAGGCATAGATTGATAGATTTTGTGGATCATCGAGATTTTCAAACGCTTGTATTTAAGAAATATTTTTTTTCTTCTTATTAATTGCAGAGTTATCTTTCTTATCATCATTGTCTAAGGCTTATATGAAAGTATTATTCTTAATATTTTTAGTATGATGCTTATCTTTACCCAAGGCAATGCTTGTGCTTTTTTCTAGCAAGCCGATTTAGCTTGTATCTAGTACAACTTATGTTTTTGGCTTAGATGTAGTAATATGCTTGGCTATCTTTTTCCTCATTGGTAGTTTCCCGGTTTTCCTCCAATAGATCCATTTATATAGAGATGAAGTAGTATTATATGAAATTATTGTTAGAGTTCCTAGAGCCATTGCCGAGTCATATATCATCAGTATAAATACTTTGCTAAAATTTTCTAAATTCTAAAACTGAGTAATCATAAATACTACATAGTGCCCAAATATTGAAAATTCAATGAAAGATGTAAACAAGTTCATATTTTTAAGTTTAAATGGCCGCATGAAGGTAACATATAGTGTCATAAATACATGAATAAGAGCCAAAAGCAGAGTTTATGATTCCCAATTATCTCTCGCAAATACAATGACTAAAGAGGAAATCAGACTTTTTAAAATGTAGAATGGGTAGAGATAATATGATATCATTGTTGCTTTGAAAGGGTTGAATAAAGATCCAAACATATTCTGCACTTTTAACTCGTTGATATAACTCTTATTGATTAGCAATGTCAAGATTAGTAGCACAAAAGAAAGAAATAAGAACGATAAAATGGTAATTGCTGAATTAAGTGAATCTTATTAATCTCCTGTGGGATCATTTTGGGATGATAATGTGTTATCATTTGCATATTTTAGTTCTAATAATGATGGCAATACTAATGGCATAAAGAAGACAATAAAGAATTAAAAGCCAATTGAGAACAATGACTTCTTAGTCAAAGCATTCCCATAAGTCACTAATCTTTCATTATTCTTAAAGCCTCTTTGCAATATAGTACCTATTACATAAGCTAATGGAGTAAACACGAGGTAAAGCAAAAGCCAAAAGACTATCTAATGTGATAGATTAACTAAATTTTGGTTATAGTAATAGCCACTTTCACTAAACTACTACCCATATGCATTTTTCTTAATAAAATCATTGATTAGAAATTCTATAAATATTTTTTAACCTTCAAATTTCCAAGTGAATAGTGCAAATTTATAGGACTAGAGGTATATTACTAAATAGCTTTAATTGGCTCTTGATGAAAAATTAATAAGATGATTGCAGTATAACTATTATAATGCAATCAAAATTACAATAGCCTCTGATACTGGTTTATAATAGATAAGAGAACTTATAAAGATTATACATATTGATGCCACATAGCAGAATAAAATTCCTGTGACAAACTAAGTAATCATATCAAATTTATCAGGATCAATATAATTAACACCTTAAGTTTCATAATCTAATTTTCTAAGTTCAGCTATAGCAAAAATAGATTGATTATCAATAGAATAGCCATTTTAATCAATTATGATCGAAGTATTTAGAATAATAACTTTAATGTAATAATTGCTATAGTCAAAAGCAGTTTTGTTAAAATCAGTATAAATGGCGATAATGTTTGAAGGGTATTTTTAGGAAGTAGCCAAATCCCAATTTCCTTAATAATTAGTCCAGCTACTATTATATACAGATTAATCTAATATCTGCATTTTAAAGTTACTCTTACTAAATGATTGACTAATTGTACTTTAGCTAAGTGTCCGAGAGGAAGAAATAATAGATGATATGTTGGGATAAACTGGTCTATCAAATTCAAGATAAACTTAATTGGAGTTTGTCAACTTAATTCCTCTTAATGTTGTTCTTATATAGCTACATGTAGACTTTTGAGTTAGATTACCCTTAGAGCAAATCCATCCTTATTCTATTTGGCATAAGCTGGAGCAGCCATCTTTGCTTTTAGTATTGCTATCGTCACAAGATAACTGCCCAAGATTATATCCCTTACCACATATCTCTTAACACTAGCCTAAAGGCCCAATAGTAAATTGACTTGTATTATTACAGGTCCTACATTTGCTTTCATAATCTAAAATCTTTCCAGCTCTGCAAGTTAAACAGTAATTATCTCCACCACCAAAGCAGGTCAAGCAACTACTATTACAAACTCTGCAGATATTTTGATCTTAATCATAGAAATAACCAGAGGAACACTTGCTTCCCGAATATAGTGAGTCTGCTCTGATCTTAGACTCTGAGTCCACTTAACAAATACCACTTTTAGTATTTTTCTGATAACCCACAGGGCATTCCCAGACACAATATGATCCATCAACTTTATATGCTCCTTAGCTGCATCTCTCACAATAATTTGATCCATCGGTGCAACTTATACATCTATCATCACATTTTTCATAGGTGCCAGTTATTGAGCTTTTATAATAGCCAAAGTCCTTTTTACACCAGCCAACTAAGTTTGTGTATAAGGGCAATGAAGGATCATCTGAATTACAAACTAGACATGAGTCTGGAAGGTAGTATGTGCAAAATTAGCATTTATTATCACATTCCTTGCAGGATGTGCCATATGAATTTAGAGGACAAGTTGAATAGCATTGATTAGCTGGGAAACTGCTAGAGGTTTTATGCTTAGAGCAAACCTTGCATTTTCTCTAAGACCAAGATTGTCTATCACATGTTGGATTGTCATCATCAAAGTCATTTATAGTCAAGAACTCATAGTAAGGCTTTGAGTATTCATAAGTCTTTGAATCAGTAGAGTTGACAGCGAAATAAGTATTTAGACTGAATCTACTATAGATAAAAACAGATCTTATGATCCCTTCAAAATTAGAACCCACATATATATCCTTTGTTGGATCATTAGTGTAAACTCCATTCAAAAATGTGAGCTTTATTGGCGGCATCAAGTCAAAGTAAATAAAAACATCAGTACTCTGAAATTACAAAGATCTACGGTAGTTTACTGAAATCATTCTCCATTCAGAATTTATCTCCTCTAATCTATTCAGTCTTGAGATATTATATCTTTTACTGACTAGGTTATATATCTCTTTTGGGACTGTAGCATCTTAGAATTTACCCATGAAATACACTCTAAGAGAAGTATCACTTATTTCCATACCAAAGTCATTATCTTTCTTAATCAAAGTCTGGAACCTACCTTTTGTCATAGAGGCGAAGTAATTAAGTCTGTACCATACCTCTACAGTAAAATCAATGCTCTATTTAGATGTTAGCTGAATCTTATCTGTGCCCAGAAGTTATTGGCCCTATCCAAATAAGATACCTTGATTAGGAACGCTAATAAAGTATAAGGGTAAAAGGTAATAATTACTAGATTGGATCGCTATCATCAGTGGAAATACTTGAGCCTAGCATAAGGCTGTTAGTCCCATATTATAATGCTCCTGACGTAAATGTTGCATCATTTTAATCGGGCACAATCTAATCTCCACTATAGAGGTCTGTCAAATCATACTTAGCTATGTAAGTCATATCGTTAGACAGCATAGTTTTTAGATTAGTGGGTGGGTTGGAGTAAAGAGTTATCCAAACGGCATCAACCCTAGAATCAGCATTCAAAGCAGTTGTAAGATCTTGACTTTCACTAGTCCTCATAAACATAATAATGCCATCTAGATGCATAGAGGTATATACTTTATCGTATTCCCCCTTGTGTCCAAATAAATATTTAGCTGTACCAACAGTAGGTTCTTAAGGCAGACCAATCATATCATTTTCCTAATATGAATTAGGATATGTTGCTCCCAATCTAGCGTTATTGTTATTTCTGACATAAAGTTTTATGTTTATTCGTTTCACATCACCTATCCCGAAGGATTCAATGTAAAATACGATATAGCTGAATCCGGTTTGAGCCTTTATCCCAGTGTTTCTAATAGTTGGAGAGACCTTGCCTGATTGCAGAATACTGATTGAGTAATAACCTGCTTTGTTAACATAAATACTAAAATATTCTTGTGCTTGATTCGTTAAGTCCTAAATAAATTATGCTATAAAATCTTTTGTTGTATTTACACTTGCTGAAAATATATAGTAAGAGTTGTCTTAATTAGAATAGATAAGCAACTCCATTTGAAAAGGCATATTTCCCATTGTATACTGTAGAGCATTAGTTAAAAGTACCTCTGGAGCATCGTTCCTGAGGTAAGTGCCGTACTGATTCTAGTAAAACACTTCAGTATTGATCCCTTTTGTAATATTAATATATATTTTTACAGGTAGGAGCAGTTGAAGTGGCAGTGGATGTGAATTCGTAATTGAGTGAATAGCTTGCGGAGATGATGAGAATTTGCACACTCAGAGATAAAAATAGCAAAATTGTCATTTCTATTTTGCAATATATATTATTGATCAAATCCTATCAAATTTTAACAACTAGGGGTTTTGGGGTTTTGGGG